GGGACTGCGGCGGCGAGCGGCCCCGCCGGATCGGAAGTGCCACGCGGAGCCACAGCTGCGGCTCAGAGCGTCGGGAGCGAGGGTCCCACCAGCTGCCCGGGGAGTACCGGAGCGAGAGCCCGTAGCTGATTTACTTGGCTCCTCTGCTCCCCTTGCTTGGCCGCAGGGCGGCTCTCTAGAGCCACAGAGCAGAAGGGATGTCCGACTGCATTTGAGTGGGGAGACTCTGAGCATCTCCCAGAGAGAGTCTCCTTGATGCCCCCACAAACCTTCAGACCACTTGGATCTACCTATTTTGCAGCTCCCTGGACTCCAAGGAGTGTCCCAGTCAAGAAGAGTAGGGCTGAGCAAGGTGAGGAGAGAGCCCTAGCTTTACAGTTAGACAGCCCTGACAGAAACCCTAGCTCTGAGCCTCCATTTCCTCATCCATGAAATGGGTGTTAATTGTAGCACATAGTAGGTGTTCAATAAATAACTGTTCTCTATTTCCACCCCTGGCACCAATAGCACCTGCCACACATCCCAAGGTGGGAAACTGCAAAAGTCTGAGAGATGAGAGTGGGTGCTGGTTTTGCAAAGTTGCCCAGACCAGTTCAGTAGTCAGGCAAACAGCCCAACTCCTGCTCTGCTCTCCAGCTTTATTCTATAAATGTGTTCCTAATGACTTGCAAATGAACTATATTTCAAGCCTCCAGAGGAGGGAATTGGAGATTTTTTAAAGAACTGTAGAATAAAAAATCTTTGTGTAAAGTGTAATCTTTGTGTAATCTTTCTGCCTTTGAGTTCAGACATTGGGAGGCCAACTTGTGGATGGAAATTCTCTAACCACACTTCTCTTGGAAACCCCTGAGTCCCCTAAGAAAGGACTTGGGTTCCTGCCCTCTTCACCCCACAAGAGGTGTCCCAATCTACATCCTTGCTTGGCTCTGAATATGCTCCTGCCTTGTGGGCAGAGAGCCAGTGTGTTCATCCTCATGGCCCCAGCTCCTGGCTCCGGGACTCCTGAGAGGTAATGCTTGTGGAATGAATAAAGTGGCATTGAGGTTTTGAAGGGCCAGTGCATTTGTGAAGCAAGTTCAGAGAGCTGAAGTGATGTGTCCCAGGTCACACAGCTCATTTATAGCAGAGCTGGGATCAGGACACAGGAGTCCAGTGCTGAGTGAGAGAGAGAGAGAGAGATAAGATCAGCAGTCAGGGGACTGTTCTAGGCCGGCCTTTGGCATGTACAGGCCATAGGCAATTCATTTGCCTTTGGCCTGCAGTATCTCTCTCTCTGTTGAAGGGAAAATCGTGAGGATCACTGGAGTCACAGACACAAACTCTAGAGTCTTGTGGAAATAAAGAGTGTATTCTATTCCAAGCAACATCAGAGCATCTGGTGACAGTCTTCCCTCTGTATCCTTGGGGGATGTTTCCAGGAGCCTCACAGACACCAAATTCATGGATGCTCAAGTCTCTTATATAAAATGGCATAGTATATGCATATGATCTGTATTTGCACACAGGCTACAGCCGAGTATGCCTGTACATCATTTCATTCACATGGATTCAGCATAGTGTCAGCACGTGGCAAATTCATTTTTTGCTTTTGGAACTTTCTGGAATTTTCCCCCCAAATATTTTCTATCTGTGGTTGATTGAACCCTCGAATGTAAAACCTGCAGTTATGAACAGCTGACTGTATTTGGCAATGGCACCACCAAATTGATCTATATTAGTTCCGGAAGAACAGAGTTCTTCTTTCTCCATTTTCTGTTCCTTTAAGATCTGTGAGGTCAAGAGCCAGACTATGGTTTTGTGTGTGAAGGCTGATGGAGCAAGAATGTGAGGGGTGTGTGTGTGTTAGTAGGAACGTGGAGGAGAGGCCGTGAGATGACCAGGCCTGCGACTCTCTCCATTATGGCCCTCCATGAACCCACTAAAAGAGCTCAAGATAAAACAGCCTCCCTTCTCAGGGTCTCAGTTTTCCCAGGTGCAGAGTGGGGACCCTGTGAGGACAGAGGGAAAAGATATGGCATGTGATTGCCGATTTTCTCCCTACTACGGGGCCATCCCAGAGAAGCTTGCCTGGAAAACTCAGGGGTCTGAGCCCTGTCCCCAGACTCCACCGCATTCCTACCTTAGATCTGGTAAGCCCCAGCAGCCTGACTCAGGAGCAGTGGGGCTGGGGCCTTCCCTGGAGCCAGTCTTGGCAAGCAGAGAGCAAAACCTCACCCTGATTCTCTACCCCCACCCCCTTCCCCGGGGCTACAATGGTTGCTTTTGTTGGCAAGTATTGTAT